CACTGGTGGGGTGACGCAGTGGCGGCCGTGTCCATTGAAGGGCGCAGGCGCTCACTGTACACGAGGGCGAAGAAAAAAAAACGTCCCCTGTGCCGGGGCGCCCCTTTAATGGGCGGCGAAAACAGGGCGGCGAAAACAGGGGATCGTTTTTTTTTTTTTTTCTATGTCCCCTCGTCGCGTACAGTGGGCGGCCCGAACTGGCGAGATACACTGGGGGTGAGAATTCTTATCCGCTGTAACATATGGTCGCCTCTTCATTTCCTTTCCTCGCCTTGCCCACACGTTACGGTAAGCATTGCTGTTTTGCACAATTCAGTGTTCTTCATATTTTTGGTTCTTCAAAAAGTGAAACAAAATTTTATACCGATTTTTTAATCAAAAATTAGGGGTGCGCATTATACACGGTGTGCGCGTTATACTCGAATAAATACGGTATATTACTTTCCCATTTACTAAAGATATACTTTCCCCATTTACTAATGATACTTTTCCCATCTATTTACGAATGATATACTTTCCCATCTATTTACTAATGATATACTTTCCCCATTTACTAATGATATACATTTACTAATTTCCCCATTTACTAATGATATACTTTCCCCATTTACTAATGATATTTTTCCCCATTTACTAATGATATATTTTCCCCATTTACGAATTATATACTTTCCCATCTATTTACTAATGATATACTTTCCCATCTATTTACTAATGATATACTTTCCCCATCTATTTACGAATGATATACTTTCCCATCTATTTTATTAATGCTAGCAGCAGCAGAATTAAAAATAGTCCATCTTGATTGAGAAAGCGAAGTTCCCCTTTAAAGTAGAACTATAGGCAAAACATTTTGGATAGAGTAGGGAGGGTTATAACCCGTCCGGTTCATTTTTGCCATCTGTGCCTCATTGGGGAGTCTTCCCTTCACTTCCTGTCCCAGAGCCAAAAAAGGAAGTGAGAGAAAATGCCTCCAAAGTGAGGGAATCCCTGGGTGTCCCCATTGGAAGATATCCCCAATATTCCTGTTCTGCAGACAACCCAAAATTTGTGAATTTCTTCACTTTTGGTGATAACAGAGTTATGGACCTTAGATTGTAAACTCCTTGAGGGCAGAAACTGATGTGAATGTACAATATACATAAAGCGCTGCACAAACAGACGGTGATATACAAGTACCTGTAATAAAAAATAAACAGTAAACAGAACAGGGAGAGTTAATCTCCCCAATAAGGGCATAGACCCCATAGGCATTTACATTTCTAATCCCTCTCTATCCAAATCTATTAAAATGTTACCTTTACTTATATTTTAATTTTAATTTGTTAGGCTGGATTTATAACTGATCCTGGCAAAAACGCATGTTTTTACTGCAATTTCACTTTTTTTTTTTTTAGACGACAAGTGACTCAAACGAACCGCGAATATGTTTTTGCTGCGTTTCCATTGATTTCAATGGGGAGCTATGTTTTTGGTGCATTTTTCTTTCAACCGCACCAAAAATACAGCAAGGATTTTAAAAAACTCACCTGACCTGCAATGCAGTGTGAAGAGTTCCATAGGAATACATAGTCACAGTTTTTCTTCCACTTTTATTTTTTTTTAAACGTAAAAAAGCGGAATAAAATGCATCAGTGTTCAAGAAGCTTTATTGTGGAGTGAGGCTCCATTCACATTTGTGCAACTTGTTATGCGATTCTGGATACTAAAGTTGTATGACAAGTCGCACCCCATGTTTTTCAGTGACAACCGTTTAAATACTTTAACCCCTTCGTGCCCAAGGGTGACACAGATCGGAACGCCTAAGTACAATTTTGCAACTTTGACATGCGTTCGCAAA